TTTCGTTGTTGTAGCTAATCTGTTTTGTTTTTGTTTTTCATAACTCACAATTTTAGACATGCTTGTCTATTTTGGACCTAGTAACTATATGAACAATTGTTGATACCATGGCGTCATTTGTTGAAAAACGATTGTTGAATTTGTTGATCATGTTCGGTGAGCAGCATTCAGAAGGTAAATTTAATTTTCTTATATGTGGTTGTGGTCATGCAGTTGACAAGCAGCACAAAGGCATCATATGTAGGTCACAAGTGGGCAAGTTTGTCTCGACCATTCAGGTGCCATTTGTTGTTCTGGTTTCATGGTTTTTACTCTTATAATTATATATAGAGATTTATGATACTTTCAATCTCAAGCTTATTCATTGTAAAACTTTATCGTCACTGCAGTTCAAAACCTGCTGGTAATGATGTCATTGGAATTGATCTGGGTACCACCAATTCATGTGTTTCTGTTATGGAGGGAAAGGCAAGATTTTCTCTTTCAATTTGTTTATATATGTTTTAAGGGGTGGTGTCTTTGCTGACTAATATTTATGACATTTTCAGAATCCCAAAGTTATCGAGAATTCCGAAGGAGCTCGAACAACACCATCAGTAGTTGCCTTCAACCAGAAAGGGGAGCTTCTTGTGGGTACACCAGCCAAGCGTCAGGCTGTGACTAACCCAACAAACACTCTTTTTGGAACAAAGCGTTTGATCGGTAGGCGTTTTGATGATCATCAAACTCAGAAGGAGATGAAGATGGTACCGTACAAGATTGTTAGGGCGCCCAATGGAGATGCTTGGGTTGAAGCCAATGGGCAGCAGTATTCGCCTAGCCAAATTGGTGCTTTTGTTCTCACCAAGATGAAGGAAACTGCAGAATCTTATCTGGGAAAGTCAGTTTCAAAAGCTGTAATTACTGTTCCAGCTTACTTCAATGATGCTCAGAGGCAGGCAACAAAAGATGCGGGTAGAATCGCCGGTCTTGATGTGCAGAGAATCATCAATGAGCCCACTGCTGCTGCACTTTCATATGGGATGAACAACAAGGAGGGTCTCATTGCAGTTTTTGATCTTGGAGGTGGAACATTTGATGTCTCCATCTTAGAGATTTCTAATGGTGTTTTTGAGGTATTAACAATTAATTCTCATATGCCTTTCTTTCTTAACCTGTCATTAGGATTTAGGAATTATGTTTGAAACTGTTGCTGATAACTTTTTGTGTTCAGGTGAAAGCCACAAATGGTGACACTTTCTTGGGAGGAGAGGATTTTGATAATGCTTTATTGGACTTTCTAGTGAATGAATTCAAAAGAACTGAGAGTATTGACCTTTCGAAGGACAGGCTTGCCTTGCAGAGGCTTCGGGAAGCTGCTGAGAAAGCCAAAATTGAACTGTCTTCAACATCTCAGACAGAAATCAATCTTCCTTTCATCACTGCTGATGCATCTGGTGCAAAGCATCTGAACATCACATTGACAAGATCCAAGTTTGAGGCTTTGGTAAACCACTTGATTGAAAGAACAAAGGCACCGTGTAAGAGCTGCTTGAAGGATGCTAACATATCTATCAAAGAGGTTGACGAGGTTCTTCTTGTTGGAGGGATGACCCGTGTGCCTAAAGTCCAGGAGGTGGTTTCAGAGATCTTTGGAAAGAGCCCTAGCAAAGGAGTAAATCCTGATGAGGCAGTTGCCATGGGAGCCGCAATTCAGGGTGGTATCCTACGTGGAGATGTTAAAGAGCTACTACTCCTAGATGTCACTCCACTTTCTCTGGGTATTGAGACTTTGGGTGGTATCTTTACCAGGTTGATCAACCGCAACACCACAATTCCAACAAAGAAGAGCCAGGTAATAATGTTTATACAATAACATGCTTAATTGAAGTCTTTCCCAACCACTGCAAATATGTGCTAAATACTTTTTTTTTGTACCTGGTTTGGTAATTTTAGATGTATAGCCTATTTAATTTTGTTAAATACACTCTTTGCTATTTGGTAGAGTTTACTCTTGACTTGTGATATCATTGTTTCAGGTGTTTTCAACAGCAGCTGACAATCAGACTCAGGTTGGTATTAAGGTGCTACAAGGCGAGCGGGAAATGGCTTCAGACAACAAAATGCTAGGAGAATTTGAGCTTGTTGGGATTCCTCCTGCCCCAAGAGGTTTGCCTCAGATTGAAGTCACATTTGACATAGATGCCAATGGGATTGTTACTGTCTCTGCCAAAGACAAGTCCACTGGGAAAGAACAACAAATTACCATCCGATCTTCTGGAGGACTCTCAGAAGATGAGATTGATAAGATGGTTAGAGAAGCAGAGTTGCATGCTCAGAGGGACCAAGAAAGAAAGGCTCTCATTGACATCAGAAACAGTGCAGATACAACCATCTACAGCATTGAGAAAAGTTTAGGTGAGTACAGAGATAAGATTCCCAGTGAAGTGGCCAAAGAGATTGAAGATGCAGTTTCAGATTTGAGACAGGCAATGGCAGGGGACAATGCTGATGAAATTAAGTCAAAGCTTGATGCCGCAAACAAAGCTGTCTCCAAGATTGGACAGCATATGTCAGGTGGTTCTAGTGGCAGTTCTAGTGGTGGTTCCTCGGCCGGAGGTTCTCAGGGTGGTGACCAGGCTCCCGAGGCTGAGTATGAAGAAGTCAAGAAGTGAGGCATGTAGGTGACGTTTTGTAGCATTTGTTTCTTATTAATCATCACATAATTGCAAGAATACAAGGTTACTTTTTTTTTGTATCTATTTTTGAAAGCCAATTTTTACCGGAAGGCTGTTTGATTTGTAGCACTGTCGGAGTCCGAACACGGCTGTTTGAATAACTACATCGAAATTTTTGCAAAAATATTGTTCATTCGTGATTGGTTGTTACTAGTATTTTAAACTAGATTAAAATAATTTTTTCAAATATTTTCGAAAATAATTCTAAAAATGCTATAGCATAATATAGTTAAAATAGTCATTCACGATTACAATTAATATATAGAAGTTAATATATATATATAAGTTGATTCGATATTAATGAACACTATTACATATTGAATAGGTTAAATAGAAATTATGGAAGTTTTTGATGACTTATTTTTCATATTTAACTTACATTTATACTTGTTTTATAATATATATATTTTTTATATTGCACATGTATCATCTACACGAGACAATTGGGTTGTTTTCTAATACAAATAATCATGTTAGTCAAATAAGACTATTATAAGTAAAAAAAAATTTATTTTAGTATATAACACAATTTTATATTCATGATTAATTCACATATTTTTTTAGTGATTTTAATATATTATATGAGCAAGTGAGTTTTTAAACTTGTCTACACTCTTTAATATTTTATGAATAAATATAATGTTTAATATGCACTTGTCCACCATAAGTCATGAGTTAATGGATCACATGTGTCATTGGAGAGCCTATTAGTATTTCTCCATGTTTGATTATGAGAATGAGAAATACTAATAATATACATTATACTCTCTTTAATATGTTGAAATTTCTGGGAATTATAATCAATGAGGATAAGTATGTTAAGATAAGTATGTTAAGATGAGTATATTAAAAAGTGCATTACTAATATTTTTTTATTAAAATTATTTAAACATCTGGCACACTTTTTTTTTAAATTCATAAAACCGTCTATTATAAATGCACGTGAACTCAAAAGATAACATCATTCATATCTTTTATGCTATTGTTATGTATTGAAATTTGTTGTATTTTATATAGATTATGCTAAAAAATTTAATTAGTTCAAAAAACAATTCTTATATATTGAATATAAACTACTATACATCTTATATGAAAAGATTTTTAAGATTTTTTTCAATGAAAATTTTTTAGAAGATCTTTTTTATTTCTTATCAAATTCAATTTTATTTATCATAATTATATATAAATTAAATTTTAATATTTTTAAATAAATTATTAATAAATAAAAAATAAAATTGTTACAATATAACTCATTTATCATAAATTTTAAATATAATTTATATATTTAAAAATATATTTTTATATAAATTTTAAATATAACTTATATATAAAATAATATTTATTTATACATATAACTTATTATAAATTTTAATATATTTAATAAGCATCTGAGTCTATGCTACATGTTAAAACATTAATGAAAATTTAATATCGAACTCAAGAGATAAGGTAGATAATCATATTAAAAATTTATCATTAAATAAAATATAATTATAATATATATATTATAAATTTAATGTTTGAATTATTGAAATTTAATATAAATAAATAAATAATTTTATCTAAACTTAATCTTGTATTTGTATTTTTGTTCCCTTCCAATATTTTGAAATGAATATCATATTTTGTTACATTAATAGATGATTAATTAATGCATGATTATTCATACTTAATTTACGAGGAGTCTCATAACTAATTTGTTCATTTCTCGAAGTAGTTAAACATCAACTTGAAAATAAAGTTAAGGTAGTCAAATATTATATTGGTGATAAATAATATGATAGATAATGAGTAAATCAATGTTTATATGAAAGTGAGAATCCAAAAACGCATAAATTAATCCTTTTTTTATTATCAAATTTAACACATTATATAATCATATCTATAAATTAAAAAAATTAATTAGTAATATATTAAATATGATTGTGTATTAATTAAATTTGCATTTTACATGTAATTATTGAATGTGAAAGTTAGCAACTTTGAAAATGGTGTAAAAATTAAACGTGTAAGTTTTTATTTTAATTTTTTTATTTTAGAATGCATAAGTTATTAAAATGTAAAATATAAACTTAAAGCGTGTGGTTCGGCGATAGGGTTAATTCACGTTTAAACAAGATTAGGGATTCGAATCCTGACTTGTTATGCAGTGGCGTTAATATCTATCTAAACTAAAAAAATGTAAAATATTCGGAACAAAAAATCTATCCAAACTAGTTTTTATTAAAATTAAAATCACGATCTGTTAGGTCATTTTCAAATTCCTATCAGTTTTGGGCTTAATTCAGAAATGTCTGATCAGGTAGTTCCAAAAAAAGCCCACCCATTGAACCCCGAAACCCTAGTGTTGGTTTGGTGGCCGTAGCAGCTTCTTCTACAAAACCCTACCAAAACCCTCCATCGCCACTCACTCTGCGAACACACCATGCTCGAAATCGCTTGATAGCACCCCAAACTCGACCACACTTGTCGCTGTAAGAGAGACCGAAAATGCCTCTTGGAGAAAGGCAGAGTGACAAGAGCGAGTCTCGCTACTGCGGTGTAGAGACACAGTTCAACGATGACATGCCACGTGTCCTCGATTTCAACCTCTATTCCGGAGCCTTCGATTTCGTTGTTGCTCCTCTGGTTCGCGCCCTTCACTAATCATTAGTTAAATTTATTGCAATGTTTTGCCATCGCATAGAACTAGAAGATAGGAGAGTGAAGATTACGGTGTCCGTTCTGCATTTGTTTTTTTTACCATTTGTTCAGTGAATCGAAATTTGAAAGTGTAAACTGCACTGGAAGTAGTTAAATTATGGTGGCCAATTAGCCACTCACACTGCAACTTCACTGTTGCCCCTTTTGTGTGTGATTGGTCAGTAAGCTCACCTACAGCGAAATTGCTCAACGGGTCTTTTACACTGAAGCTGCTCCACTAGTGAGCCTTTGGGGTTTCATTGTCTGGCTCTGTTGAACTACATTTCACAACCTGTGTTTACCTTTTTGTGGGTTAAAGAAAAGACTTATCAGTTTTCGAATAGTGAAGTGGGTTTGTTTGGATATAATTTTCCATAAGCACTTTCAGGAAAGAAAATACAAAATAAAAAAAAATGAAATAAACAACATCAAAAGTTAAAATTAGCTAATTTATAGCAGTTGTCTCATATTAGTTTCTCTAAAAGTAAATGTTTAACTTATGGTCAGCTAATTTTAACTGAAAGAGAAACTTATTTCAAATTTTCATTTCTTCTAAAAGTGTTGTGCTTGTGCATGGTGTTAACTGTCAAGTTTGTTTTGTAGGGCTGCTGAAAAATTCAAACAGAATCAAACCAATTCATTTTATAAAATCTGTCTGTTTAACTGAACCATATTTTATAAAATGGATCGGTTTATTTTTTCCGGCAGATGGAGCAGATTATTTTTAAATAGGGCAGTTTGGTGTAGTTTTGGTTATCCAATTTATATTCTTATATGTATCAGATCAGACTATTAAAAAAATCAAATGCACTGAGCCACTTTATAAAATGGATTGGTTAATAGAACCGTTTTTATAGAATGAAGCTTTGGGTTTTTTCTCAAAATGGTTTAGTTTTTATAATCTGGTTCTGTTCGATTATGATTAGGTTTGATTCGGTTTGGATTTTTTTACACTCCTAGTACTGTTTTGTTTGCTCCTATGGTAGCCAATTAGCCAGTCACATAGCGGCTTGCTGCTGCCATTTTATGTGTCTGGTCAGTAAGCTTACCCAAAGTAACAAAGTCTAATGCTTTACTTGTGAAGCTGTTTCAACGTGGTTTCACTCTAAGGGCTTTTTAGATTACATTGTTGAAACCTTGAATGGACTTGTAATGAAGTTCCCTGGCATAATCCTGTGCCTTCTTAAGGGGCTTAACAAGGACTTTGTATCTTCTTAATGGACAGTGTATTTACTTTCATATGATTTCTTTAGCATATTTTGTTTATTTTGCTGCTGGTGAAATCTTCTTATACACTTTGTAGTCTTTGAATAACATATTATTGTCATATATGACTTTATTTTGCTATGAATTGATCCTTTTGCTTACATAATTTCCTACTGCTTGTTTATCTTATATGATTTTATGTTGCAATTCAGATGGATCCTTCTTATCGGCCAAGTTTAGTGCAAAAGGATGGTTTGGGGTCTGGTGTTCTGCCATTTGCTGGGTCAGACTTGGTCTTGAGTCCATCCCAATGGAGTAGTCATGTAGTGGGTATGCTTTACCTATTATAATTGATATTTGTATTTGTTAATTGATATTATGAACCTTGCAAATATTATGAAAGCTACAATGTTTTACCTTCATCCATTTTCATATCTTGGATTGAAAGCACGTTGAAATTGGTTCCTGGACTAAAAATAAATTTTATTCTTGGAATATTTTGTGGATTACATAATGGGATGTAATCCTTATTCTTCCTTAAACCCCTTCCTTTCTGGAAAAGGCAGGACAATTGTGCACATAATAATGTAGCTATTTTATAATATTGAGCTTATTATTGGTTTGATACAGAAAATGTTTCTATGTTCTTGGTGCATGTCTGTGTGATTATGGTTATTGTTCTAACAACAATTCTAAAATGTTATATTAGATTTTTTGTGTTAGAGAATTTCCATTTATAAATGCATATATATTTGTTTTTTAGATGATTTGTGTCTTAGGTGTTGAATTTGTTGAGCATTTGTTGAACCTAGTAATTTTCTATTTGTTCTTTCAATTTTAAAATCTTTTAGGCAGTGAATTTTTTATGCTTTATTCAGGAAAAATTAGCTCATGGATTGATTTGGATTCGGAAGATGAAACCCTAAGGATAGATTCTGAGACCACACTTAAACAAGAAATAGCTTGGGCTTCTCATCTCTCTTTACAGGTTTGCATTGGTATAACCAAGTTGAAGAAACTTCAAAGTTCAAATTTGTGTCGTCTTGATCGGTCTTTATTCCTTAGTTTTATTAGTGGTTTTACTCATTAATTGTCTGGGTTTTAAAAATTTGTTTATTTTATTTGAATATTTTTTATTTCCTCCACAAAAATCAACATTCTTTTTGTTTGACTATCTATGATATAGTTATTATATCTCTTAGTTGCATGGGTATGGTTATGGTACCTGTACTAGAATGAGTATGGATATGGTGCATGATATTTTTTTTTTAAAATTAGGATATGGGTTTAGGAGAAAGTGTGTGTGTTTATTGCTAATCCGATCTAATAATAATTCTCCAATTCAATTTGTTTTAAATGAAAAAATGCAAAAGAAAAAACACATTCAGTGATATATGATATATAATACTTCATCTACCTTTGTGAAAAAAAAAAAGAAGATAAATTTATGATTGAATTCCAAACCAATAGAATAAAAATCCTTTGCAGCATGGGATTGAAACAGACTATTTTGCAACTCCACATCATGGTCCATGGAGACTTTTCTATTTAGTCTTCATATAGGACTGGGGAGTTGTTGCTCAAATTTTCTGAAGTTTCTTGAAACACTGCCAAAGCATTGCCTTTGGTGAGTTTTCCTGCCTGTGATGTACTGGCTTGGAGAGACAAATTATATTGTCTGGTATACAAATTCAATGGGAAATAGAACACATTGTTAATTGGTATGTAACTATGTGTATGGCTTACTGTTTTTTGCATGTATGCGTCATATTTAATTCCTTCCCAGAAATAGATTCCATATTTCTGTTGTGTAGGTTAAGTAGGACGTTATTTTTGGCTATATCAAACTAAGTGGGAAACTTGTTGAAAATTGATAAGTGAATTGAACACATTCCATAACTTGAGAATGCCCAAGTTATGCCCTGAAAATCTGTCCTTGATGCTTGACATGCTAATTACTTTAAATGTGAACAATCAAGGGTGTGATTTTGACATTTTAGTTACCTTTTGTGTTAAATGGGTTAAAGAATGCTAACTGGTTTTATTTTAAAAGTTATTTTATGCTTATATTTGTTGTAAGCTGTGTAACACAACATTGTGTCATACGTCGACATGTCACCCATGCAAAAATCCTGTTATTGGCTGTGCATATGGTTTTTCTAATACCTTTTAATATGTTGCAGGCCTGCCTGCTTCCTGCCCCCAAGGGAACTTCCTGTGCTAATTATGCTAGATGTGTGAATCAGATCTTACAAGGCTCAAGTAATATGCAGGTGCCATTCTTCATTGAGGTTTTATGACTGGTTTAGTTTTCTTCAAAAATGTCATTATTTCCAATCTTATATATATTTTTCCTTTAACTTTGTAATGTAGTTATGGCTTAGGATTCCATTGGTGAAGGCTGATGATGAATCTATGGATGCAAAATCTGTTGGTTTGGTGAGTATTATGTACAATGATGTTATGAAGGTCTTGTTTTAAAATCTGTATAGTTACATTCGGTCCTCTTTTGTATCACTATCTTCTTTAACGTGCATGCACCTGTCTATGTTTTTCTTTTGCAATATAAAAGTTTATCATCTTAGGACCCAAATGATTTAACTCACATTTAAGCTCTGACAGGATTGTTAAACTCAGTTCTTATAGTAAGTTTATTATCCTGGGTGTACATATGGTTTTGGTTATAAAATGCAAATTTTTGTTTGGTTTCTTTGGGTAATTTGGTTGGATAGTCTATGTTTTGCTTTTGCAATATGTATTGTGTCATGAATTTAATTGTATGTTATTGTTAGTACTTTGTTCTGCTTTACTAAACTCGAAAATAGTACAAGTGGTGGCTAAGTATAATTTGATACTGGTTCAGGTATTATGTAACTTTTGTTTTTTTATTTTGTTGGTTTTGTTTAAGATGATTGCAATTTGATTTTTTTTAATACTAATTTTGAAGTATGTGAACTTGTGCAAGAGTTTTTTATTTGTGTTTAATTGTGTTGGTTGTATTTTTATTGAAAACTTGGTTTGACAACTTTGTCTTAATTTTTTAATTCTTATTGAAAGAACAATGTCACACTACTAGATAATGAACTTTTGATTCTGAAGTTCAACATGAGCCAATAGTCAAGATTTATGTGGTGTTTGTCCCTATATATTTATATATTTGTATTAAGTCATGTGTGCTGATGATGAAATTATTGAGGGTTGGATGGTTGGGTCATGAAATTTTAGGCTCATTCTAGACAAATATAAGGATTCTGAGTTATTTTTTCAGAACTTCGTGATCCTGATTTTTAGGTTGATTCATGGGAAACTTGGAATTCATTTCGTCTGCTGTGTGAGCATCATAGTCAACTGTCAGTTGCACTTGATATTCTGTGAGTAGTCTACACTTTGGTCCTTTTACCTATTATATGTTTTACTCTGATCTTGGATTTTGTTGCTTAATATTTGTTCCTAATTCCTAAATTTGTTTTATAATTGTGTCAATATATTATTAAGTTCATGAATCATGTTGATTTTCTTGGAACTTATTCATTAGGAGTACTCTTCCTTCTGCAAATTCACTAGGACGTTGGTTTGGGGAGTCTGTTAGAGCAGCTATATTGAATACTGACGTAAGGATATCTTCTTTATTATGCATTTTTCAAATATCAATCATAATAGTGTTGATTCTTGTCTAAAGTCATAATGTTGGAATGTTGCCAGTGCTTTCTAACTAATTCTCATGGCTGTCCATGCCTCTCTAAGCGCCACCAGAGGCTAATTACCGGGTTTTTTAACCATTCTATTCAGGTAAAGCATTTAAATACTTTGAATCTTGTTTTGTATTTATGGAATCAATATTGTGAGGATTGCTACTGTTATATGTGTTAAAAAATTTTGCATGTCATTTATCTTTTTATGGATAATGCATTGCTGCTTGGTTAATCATAAGAAAAGGAATTTAAATTCATTTTTTTTTCCTTCAAAAGGTACTGAACTAATTTGAAAAATCTGTGTAGATCATTATATCTGGAAATTCAGTTCATCCTAAAACAAGTGTGGATGAAAAAACAGTTCATGATAATTCGGTTACAGGTAAGTTCCTTTTGGTTTATATATGTTTTCTTGATTTTGATAATCATCCTTCATGTAGTGAGAAGATATTATATTGTATATCTAATTATTCCCTTTAAACTAGTTTTTCAATGTTTTCCTATTATTTTTAGCCCATTTTTATTTATCTTGCATTCAGGTTACAAGAACCATCACTATTACCCATGTAATATATATTTAGGGATCTCTTCAATTCTTTGTGTGTGCCTGTATGCAAGTCATTATGCCTTCATGTATGGAATGTGAAAGTTGTGATTTGGTGTTCCACTGTTTCTTCAACCATGTTGCTCTTGGCCAAAATCTTGTATTATAGTCAGTATTTTTGCATGTCAGATTCACAAAGACACCCCTTGCGACCTTATTTAGACTATGTTGGATATCTATACCAAAAAATGGATCCTCTTCCTGAGCAAGAACGTTTTGAGGTATCCATCTTGATGTTTGTTGAATATATATAAACATAGCATTGCATTATATACTATGATATTTCTTTTGACTCTCAACATCTTATGCCAGCTTGGTTACAGGGATTTTTTACAGTCACCCTTGCAAGTAAGCATTTTTGCCATGCTTCTTTATTTGTGGTTATTGGCTTCTATATTACTCCTAATTTATTCTGAACTTTCAGATAAATAGTTTTGATTTTTTTCCAATTATTTTGCAGCCTTTAATGGATAACCTAGAGGCTCAGACGTACGAGACTTTTGAGAGAGATGCAGTGAAATACATTCAGGTATGGCAATGTATGCAAGATTTTTCTCATCTTAACATATCCATTTTGTAAATATATTTTTATCTGTTTCCCTTGGCATGGTCCCCTTAAATCCAATTTATGAGACTGTTGTAGTTGATAGTTGTGAATCAGTATGTCCATGCATGTGATTCTTGAGCAATTGAGCTGCCTAGAGTACTGATTGAAGATTGAAGTTGATTAGTTATAGCACTTCTGTTGATGTCATGAGCATTATGATTTAGCCTATACTATTCTTCAACCAATATTGTTTGGTATATGAAGGTATATGTAATATAAAGCATATGAATTATGCATGGTTTACAGAACATTATTGTATTTGGTTTGCATAGAATTAAAATGATGTTTGGGCTCTGTAAATGCCTTGTTTGGTCAAAACATTATTTGCTGTCTTGTTTGTTACCTGAAGTTCAAGGCTGTGACTTGGGGGGTAACTTGTTTTGGTTTCTTTGTGTACTTGTAATCTAACCGTTAGGTTTCCTTTTTACAGTACCAAAGAGCAGTTAGTAAAGCATTATTGGACAGGGTTCCTGATGAAGAGGCATCTGATAAAACCATTGTAAGATTTGTTTCTCATGTTCTCTTTTCAATGTCTCCATTTTTTAATTTCTATTTTGTGGGGCATGGTATATGCACCTACTTTAATGTAATTTTGTTTTGATCCTGTGGCTAGGTATTGATGGTTGTTGGGGCAGGTCGTGGTCCTCTTGTACGGGCATCGTTACAGGTTTGATTTTGTACCTTTAGTTGATCAGTTTTGACATTATTATTTAATATAAATCACATTCTGTGAAATTCAGAATTTTCTACATCCTATTCCTTTCTCCTTGGTTATATTTTTCATATTCACATGTAGGCTGCTGAAGAAACTGGGCGGAAACTCAAAGTTTATGCCGTTGAAAAGAATCCAAATGCAGTTGTTACCCTACATGTTAGTGCTGGATCTTCTTACATTTTTTATGATTCCATTGATTAATGTGCCAATTTAATGTTATTTGTATTTTACAGTATTTGCTGAATTCAAATACATGGCCTAAAATTCTTCAAGTGTTTGATTTTGTAAAACATTTGTTGCATGCTTGACTGTGTGCCAAATATCTATGTGCTCTTTGTTTTGAATTTATAAATCAAATGTGATTTTAACATTATGCTAAGTTACAAGTCTAATGGTTTGTTACCTAGTGCCTTGAGTTTTGGAGTTTATGTTTGGTCAATGTAACATTGTTTTTGGCTCTTGCCCTGTGCATTTATAAATTAATTTTCTTTTTGTTCCTATTGCTTTAGATAATCTTCATGAAAGTATATCTTAATTTTTGGACTAAGGTTTCTATCTTTTGAATGTTGCTATTATTTTTCCTTTGTTTTATACATGTCACTTGATTGTTGGAACAGGCATTACTCAAATTAGAAGGATGGGAGGATACTGTCACTGTAGTCTCAAGTGACATGCGATGTTGGAATGCCCCTGAAAAAGCTGACATATTGGTATTTTCTATGTTCAATTAATCAATTGTTTGACTTTTATTGTTTACTCCAGTGTCTGATTGTTGTTTTGAATTTAGGTTAGTGAATTGTTAGGTTCCTTTGGCGACAATGAACTGTCTCCTGAGTGCCTTGATGGAGCCCAGAGGTTTCTAAAGCAAGATGGAATTTCGATACCATCTTCGTATGTAAAATGCTTCTACTCCTTTGTTATTGATTTATCTTTTTTATTAAAGGGTTTTGTTTAGAGTTATATAATTTTATTGCTTCCCCTTTTAGTTAAAAGCTGCAGAGTCGCATATGAATTCTTGGATTTTTGCTCAATTTAATTTTTGATAAATTTTGTTGAGTTGAATAAATTTTGCAAAAAATAGTACTTTTACTTCAATGCCGTATAAACTGTATTACATTATAAGCATAAAAATTTGAGGTGGTGATGGTCATGGGGTTTCACTTTTTTTTTCAGTAGAATTTAGTGTTTCTAGGGACCATTGATGAATTAATTAATTTATGTATTTTAAATTTTATTTCTTCTTATTTTTGTTTAGTTATTCTATTCTATTAATCTTTGTATTACTGACTTTCAGGTACACCAGTTTCCTCCAACCAGTGACAGCTTCAAAGTTATATAATGATGTATATATATCTTGTACTTCCCATTGACAAATTCATATTTAGAAATATGGTACTCATATTAGGTGGTTTTGAATGTATTCCAGGTTAAGGCGCATAAAGACCTTGTACATTTTGAAACTGCATATGTTGTAAAAATACACAATGTTGCCAGACTTGCACCAACTCAACCTGTGAGTTTTTTCACGTGCAGTTTGTTTTTTGATCTTTTATTTCAACCTATCCACCAATCTGATCTGTATGCCGTTTGATCCATTTTGTTCTGCATAGGTTTTTACATTTACTCATCCAAAGTGCTCTGATAAACAAACCAATCACCGCTATAAAAAGTTGAATTTTGTGATACCTGATGACACTGGGTCAGCTATGGTACATGGTATGTGATATGTTTCTATTGCAAATTTTCTTGATCCAATTTTGAGCTGTTTTGGTTATCTTTTTTAGATTAACCTTGTGTTGTCCTTGATCATAGGATTCGCTGGTTACTTTGATGCAACTCTTTACAAGGATGTGCATCTTGGAATTGAACCTTCAACAGCAACACCGAACATGTTCAGTTGGTATTGAGATTTACTTTGTTTTGTTCTGTTTTGGGATATGAGAAGTAATTTTATTGGAGGGTAGCATAAAGGAAAGTGAAGTATCAAAGCATAATATATCCTCCTAAAAAACCACTTAGAAAAGAACAAAGTAAACAAGCTAAACACATAATAATGCAAATTTGATTCTTTTTTTATCAGCAGGA